TCAATAATTCGCAACCGTACTTTGGCTAAATAATACGTTACATCTGTCAGAATTGAAAAGTCACTGTTTTTCCGATGTGCCTAACCTCGCGGCCGTCAAATCATTCAAATTTTTTCATGGATAAGTACTATCCATCCGGGTATTTTCCGTGGACGAGCACTATAGGCTGATAGAGTCTCTCCACGGATGAACACCATCGCGTCACGAGATCAGTTTTAACGGATAAGAATCGGAGAAAAGTTAGTGGTAAACTATAATATCAGATAGTAGTGGAGAGAGATGAGTCACCCTTTAATCTTGGCGTAAATGTCTTTATTGCAATTTAGAAACGATTTTAGAACTAACAGTAAAGTTCTGAAAGAAGTCACTCACCTCGCTATATCTTTTTCTGACTGTTTCATCACTGAGAAGCGTCTTCAGAAGTTGATCATTTCTTTTCTTGAGAGCAAGCACTTGATTCCAGAGTGGTTCATTTGGTGGAATAGGGTTGTTCTTAATCCAACCACCACATGCGTGTAGGAAAAAATCTTCGCACGGATCTACACTCTGGTCAACTGTTCGCAGAACATCTTTTAAAGATCAAGGGAATCAAACAAGATAAAGAGCTTTTATGAGTATCAAACTATACGCGTAAGCCTAAGTTAACTATAATATACGGGATGACACAACAAAGAAAAATTAAAGAGATGTGCGTCGATTTATTCACATTTGGCAACTATATTGGTAATTGAAAATAGGTTTGTGATGAATACAAGAAAAACGCTTCTTCGCTTTTGAAACCTTCATGTTGGGATGAAATAAATTCTGCCTCAGTTTCCTTGCTATCATTATTAGACTACGATGTCAATTAATGCTTTTCTTAATCATTTCATTCGAACTCCGCCCCATTGCTTGATACGTTGTGGAAAATATAGCATAAGTGGATAATATTTAGAACTTTGAACAGTAAAAGGGACTATGGACTACCTGAGTTGCAATAAAGTTACCCAAAAACATTTTCAGCTTTATTGGACTGCTTTAATGTGTGAAAACATTGGCGTCAACAGTTATTAGCCTAGATGAGAATATTCAAGGTCTCAACTATTCAAAGTGAAGTAATTTGAATATATCAACAAAGTTGAAATGGTAAATTGGCCACCGTTACGATTATAAAAGCTGACGTTTCGAGCGTTAACCCTTCGTCGCAGCGAATAGGGGAATTGGGGGTTGTGTGTGCTTTTAGAGGCAGAAAAAGGAGCTACGTGATTGGTGGGAACATGGCAACGAGAAAAACACGAATAAATTAGTGGAATGAAGAGCGTTCGTTGATACCTGTGGGATTTACTTTGGTTATGTTATAATTTTATCTAAGTCGTGGCTGATTAACTTAAATGCGCGCAAATTACTTAAAAGGCCGCTATGACCAGAAAGAAGGAAAATCAACGTTTTCATTCAAACTAAGATATTGGGTGCGAAATCCAGCATAACATGTTCAGCTCTAGAGAGAGCCAACTTCTAAAAGCGGTAAACAAATGTTATTTTCTAGCATTTCTTGGCCTTTATTTGGTTGGAATAAGGCAGGTGCTTTCGTAGCTAAATATAGAAGTGAAACAAGCTGTAATTACAAGAAGTATACAGATTTCGCAGCCTCCGCTCATTTCATTCAAACGCGACAAAAACATAGGCAATTTTTTGGTCAGAAGTTCTTTTCAGACTAATGACCAACCAGGCACTTTTAAATGCGCTCGTGCACGATGCAAAACGTGTCCTTTCATTCACAACACTGAGAAAATATCGGGACCCAAACGATCCATTAAGATCACCGATCACTTCACGTGCACCTCCGCCAATGTAATCTATTGCATAACTTGCACTTATTGCAAAAAGATTTACATCGGCGAAACAGGCAGAAGACTAGGTGACCGATTCCGAGAACACCTTCGCGACGTGGAGAGGAATGACAAGGACACATCGAAACCAGTCGCTAGACATTTTAATTTACCTAACCATTCTAAGCAACACATGGCAATCTGCGGTCTTTCCTTACACTTAGGTAGCACGGAAAGCCGGAAAACTCTTGAACAAAAGCTCATCTTTCAAACCGGCAGTCTAAATCCCACAGGTATCAACGAACGCTTTTCATTCCACTAATTTATTCGTGTTTTTCTCGTTGCCATGTTCCCACCAATCACGTAGCTCCTTTTTCTGCCTTTAAAAGCACACACAACCCCCAATTCCCCTATTCGCTCCGACGAAGGGCTAACGCTCGAAACGTCAGCTTTTTTAATCGTAACGGTGGCCAATTTACATTTCAACTTTGTTGATATATTCAAATTATTTCGTTACCCCCACCGACGCAGCCCCAAACAGTTTCTTTAGAAACTATCAGCCTTTATTCAAAGTGAACTGCGTTGCTACTACATGAAGGAACGAGATAAAAACATTATTTGATGTAGACAAAACTGTACCGCTTGAATGAAGAGAAGAGAGGAGTCATTGAAATGTTAAAATCATCATAAGTCATCAACCTACTGCTGTCAACCAATGACAATGCAGCCGGTTTTGAGAAAAGCGTGGAGTTTGAATACTAAGAAGGGATAAAAAATAGCAGGCGTTTGTAAGCCACCTGATAGTATCATCAACCAGCGCAGTTTTACAAGGTTCATAGACGCACAGCTGGACTTCTATGGCAACACACAAACACACATCACAGGAGTTCTTCATATACTTTTTTAAGCATATTCATGCTCATATCCCCGAGAAAAAAAGAAAAGTTTTAATATAAGTTATTGAAAAACACACTATATTTGATTAAAATTAACGACCATAACAAAAATTAAGTTATTACGTTATCCACAGGACACAAATTGAAACAAATCCGGAAATTCACTGGTTAGCATAGTCTCGATAAAGTCAATTTCCCAATCCTTCATTGCATAAATTACTTCGAACAATAGTTGACTGCTACATCTTCGGTAGCATTTTCCCACGCAGTTTATACGCAGATTTTTGAGAAAAACTGATAGAAAGCAATTAAAGACTCTCTAGCCCTCTAGTTGGTTAAACCTCGAGTAAGCCATTTCCTTTCTGCTTGGAAATATCTAATTGTTTTTCCTTTTTTACATGCAATTCATTAAAAAAAACATATCTAAAATCTTAGGCATCGTAATAGTTCTCAGGAACACTGAAGTTGATTAGCAAGTGCTACTTACTGGCAGAGGCGAGTATGCATTGGACACTTGTGCATTGTGGCGTAACATTTTCACTCGCATTTGATGCGTTCAGGACGGTTCCACAAAACGATCTTCGAATTTCATCGTTCCTTTGCAGTTTTCCCATTGCCAAAAATACGACTAGGCTGATGCAGGCCAGGGAAAGCAGAACTACCAGAAACACGAGTACTGGAGTGGCACAGCCGTTTCTTTGCACCGGTTTTCCGTTGCGTATTACTTGGTCGTCAGCACTGTTTGAATGTCCATCAAGATGCATCTCCTCCATTGCTAAGCGGTATTTGGGATCTGCCATTTTTATCCTTAAAACGATAGACTGAGACACTTTCGTAGTTTCAAACGCTGAAATGATATGCCCTTGTCCTTATGCTGAACTGATGTGGAGTGAAAACTGAGGGAACACCCTAGCAAGGTACTATTTGAAATATTGGGATTTCAAATATGGCAGCTGAAATTGTTTTCAATCATTCAATCATGATTACAGATATTTTTAATTTGTGATTCGCATATTATGCCCCACATGCTTTGTTTGTGGTTACGCAACATAAATGACTTAATAAGCCTGAAAAGCGATTTCATGTGTGGTCCAATGAACCATTTTTTAGTCAGCAGGTGACCTGTATTTTGGATAAATTTAATTAAAACTGATTAGCATTATCGTTTAAGTTACTTGGTAGTGTTCAATAGGCGATTCGCCATTCTAATCGGCTTTCCCTCGACGGATCGTAGAATTTCAAGCAGTTCTGAAATTGAGTATTGAAGTGGTCTTTATTTGTTGCTGGATTCTCTGCAGTCTTGAAAGAGTTCGAATCCATTTTTTTATTTTAAGGGAATAATTGATGTCACTTGGCATTCGCGCATTCTCGTAAATTTACACCTTGAAAGTATCTTATTGTATTCCGAGAGCATGGATTATATATTTTTTGTCTCGCACAATGTACAGCGAAACAAGCCATCCTAGAGGTCACTTACAAATTAAAAGAAGCGATAGATGAAAAGAAAATATGTTTTGGAGTCTTCCTTGATCAACCAAAGGCATTTTCTATTGTAAATCATGAAATGTTACTCCTTAAACTATACGTGTATGGAATCAGGGGTCTCCCTCTTTGCTGGTTTCAAAGCGTTTTAAAACACCGTACGTATACAATATGTTAAATTAGGTACTATAGAATATAGTCACTTGCGTCTCCTCTGTGGGGTACCTCAGGGTCTACATTTGGCCCTCTCCTCTCCTACTATATATAAATGATCTTCCTAACTGCTGTGAGATACAATCATTTAGAACTTTTGCTGATGATACGAATCTATATTTTAGTAGTGAAAATCCAAGAGAATTACAATTGGTTATGAATTCTGTTATGGTCTATTGTTCCGGCTCAACTTCTTACATTAAGTATTAAACAATAGTCCTTTTGTTCTTTGTAGCGCTGAGGGACTTTGGCCGAAGCGACGGGAAAAAGTTCGTGACTAATCGGAAAACAATTTTCGGCATAACAATTTAGCCATTTTGGGAGAGTCAGTAGCTCATATTTGCACACGACAGGTAAATTGTCACTGGAGTACCCCAAGGGAAAATTAACCGCTGAATTAGCCGCTTCGGGGGAGTGGGTAGCGTAAATTTGTCTTGTCGAGTCAACTCTCAATGGTCTACCCCAGGAAAAAATTGACCGCTAATGTGGCAATGCACACATCGAGCATACACACATCGAGAATTCAAAATACCTCATGTGTCTCATTCTGACCCCCTCTCTCAAGTACAGTACTTGTGCGTCTAAATATCTCTTCGAAAACAATCTTTGCAAAGGTATTCAGTTCAAAACATTTCTTCCTTTTTTTTCAATCGACCGTGCGTATAAATCTTTCTCCAGACACTGTCATAGTTCTAAACTAAAGTCGTCATAGTTCTAAACTAAATATACTTTATAGTTTAGAACTATACAGTGTCCTTCCGAGCGTTTAAATTTCCCGCTCGTATACTAATCGGAAACTTCGACAAATCCCTCGCGTATTCTGAAGCTGTTGCGCCATTGTCAAAAATGGCCATATAGGGTCATTTTTCGCTTGTATAACAAAGCCTATTGTTATCAAATTTGAGCCACTTTTCTTGGTATTTAATAAGCTGTCTCTAAATCTAAGAAAAATTAACTTTTTGGCTATAACATCCTCAAAAAAATGAGTTGAGATAAATATTCAATATATTGAACACAAATATCAAATTACGTACTTAGGTGTGTTCATCGATAAGCACTTGAGCTGAGGTGCCCATATACAACAACTAGATAACAGAGTTGCCGAAACATTGGCATAATAAACAAACTCAAATACTGCCTAGACCCAAAAACATCAGTCACACTTCAACGAAAAATAAAGCTTTCAGTTAACGTTTATATAAAAATTGCAAGAAATTTAGGCAGCAACTTTTGAAGTTTTGGTAGCAACTTTTTGGATTTTTGGCAATTTTTAGCAACTTTTTGGCATTCCAGTGAGCAACTTTCCAGCATTTTACGAGCACAATCGGGTTAGGCCTATCAGTCACTACCACCGACAACAGTCCTTCTCAGGACTACACTCACCCGGACGATCAGACTACACCTTCACAATTTTGATAACATTGTAAAATTTAAGACTGCTGTATTTAAGCATACAATTCTCAAAAAGAAAGGCATTTCATTATCATCTCAGAAGTAGATATACACTCTCATAAAACTAGAGATATGCTACCCAAGGAAATTTTTTATAGAACAAACTTTCGCACAGACTACGGCAAACTTATGTTCAGATATAAGGCAGTCCAAGTGTGGGAAAGTGTCCCATTACACTTAAAGTCTCGTACTGAACCTGCCTTTAGAAAGCAATATAAAATATTTCTTTTTTTTCAAACAATGACAGTAGATGTCACAGTATGCTCCCTGATTAAGATATGCCTCAGTTAGTATGATATTTGCTGTAAATCATTCTCATAATGTGCCCGCTAATTTTAATTTTAACGAGTATAAATCTCGGGGTTATTTTTTCTGATTTTATTTCAAACAGGACAGTGACCAACTCGAAAGCCTCGGCTCCTTTGGCTGCAGTGCACATCCTCTCTAGATTTTCCATTTAATATATAGATTTAGCCAAGCCTAAAAGCAGAGCTCCGGTAATCTATTTTTAGCCCTTCACTGTCTTAAAAATCCTCAGCAGTGGCTGTGGAAGAGGTAAATTTAGGGGACTTAGGGACCAGTCTTTGTAGAAGGGGGGAGGGGGAATTGAAGGGTATGGAACCGAGGTACAATGTGCAAAGCCACTAACACACATGCTAGTCAGCGGTAGTTTGAAGCACCTGATGTTTTCAACGGATTTCCCAGGTAGGGAATGTTTTTTTCTCAAATGTAGTGTGTGATGTCAGAATCCGGTTGAGCGTTAATGATAATTTCGGTTCGGGGAAATGAGCAAATATTGAAAGAAACTACAGTAAGTGACATCGATACCATCGGTCGATTGAAGTTTATCCACCTGAGAACAGTGCGCAAGGGCGTAGCCAGGGGGGTCCTGGGTGCCCGTGACCCCCCCACCCCTTGGTAGGCCTTCTTTAGAGCAAACAACCTACAATATTCAGGTGGCGAAAACGCCACGACAATATCTTGGCCGTAAAAGCCATTGCTGAAAAGCTCACTTTAAAAAAAAAATTTTTTTTTGGAAAGTATTTTCGTCAACGGCTCTTATTTAGTTAATATTGGCCTTCATGCCGTGATAATACGACTGAGCCAGCTGATACACGCGGGAGAGCAGCGGTGTAAATGGGGAGAAGCCTTTGTGACCCCCTTCCCCCATGAAAAATCTTGGCTTCGCCCCTGGTGCGTCAGTGAGACAATATTCGCTGGAATCGTATGGGCCTCTCCTATATCTACTCTTGATATCGCCAGTTATGACTGCTTGCTCCACCGATTTTCTCCAACGTATCACCCGACGCTAGTAAGCGTAGAGATTTAAAATGAATGTCATTTTCAATTCAAGGTTAAACCTGTTATTTTTTTTAAATAGTCTTTCGACAATTCGCGGAAAGAATTCCATATAACCCCATACGTTAATTATGCATTCATTTCATAAAGACTAAATATAAAGGGTTCTTTGCAACACTCTATGCTTAATTAATGTATGGGTTACATGCATGAACTCTTGCCCAATTTGCGTTTCGTGATTGATATACGCGGTTTCTTTTTTAGATTTTTCGGTTATTTAATTCGGTAACCGCTGCTATAGTTCCATGTATTGTCATTGTCTTTAAACCAATAACCCATGATCTTGGCGACTCTAGCTACTGAAATATGAAATTTATCTTGCATCTGTTTTTCGCCGCGAAAGTTTGATCTATCAAAACGAAGACAAGTTAGAACGAGAATATATTTCAAACTTGACGATGAAAAGAAACTTAGGATTTGACAATGAAGATGTTTGTAGAAACCTAGAAAAAAAGACCTGAATTTTATTTGTACATGTAAATTGCAGAAATGAACTACAAAAATCAGTCAAGTTCTCTCGTCAGTTTAAAAGTTGAGTTGATATTGTCATTGATCTTACAGGGTTGGAAAGTTTTAAATGGTTTCTCATGTCGGCCTGTCAATAAATTTCTGGAACGTGGAATTGTAACAACTTTTTAACATGAAACACAACAATAAACTTTGTTGATCTGAAAAAAGTATTAATTTGACCATCTACTAAGACTTTCATGGGTTCACTATGACAAAATGTTAACATGACAGTTTTTGAAAAGGCTTTGGTAGTTGTTGAAATTGGATAACTCATGCAACAACTCAGTCCTGTCTTCCATTTTTCCTGACTTACGCTGTACCAAGCTGGCAAATCTTTGTAATATATTTCAACCTAACCATTTTCTTCATGCATCAAAATACAAAAGGTACTCTTCATCTATGTGCCCCTAAACATTGAAGGGGAGGAGGCAGTAGAAACATGAATTTAAAAGGAGGGGGTGCCCATTGATTTCAGTTCTAATTGTGAGAGGATCCTTGCTTTTCCAGATTTCCATCCTTTAAAAATCACACATCTTGTGACCAATTCCTTACATGTATATCAATGTTTAGTCAGGGTATCAGCATTTGTAAGAGCACCATGCACTATTGAGAGCTTGAGCCTGAGTATTTAATGCCATCCAAATAACACTGCATGTTACAATGTCCATATACAATGTTGCTATTCACAGTAAAACTTTATGCATGTAATGACACAACTGAAAACAAAGGAAGTTAGGTTAGATTCCCCTGCTACAACTTTTGGGGGCTTAAGATACAAGGAATAATTCTGGTGAAAAGTTACAATTAATACAAAGTTGAAATCTGAATGCTGCCATAACTTCTCCCAGACATGTAAATTCTTGCTTACAGAAAATTATTAATTT